ATATTATTTTATTATTATTTTATACTTTGTTAACGTCGGCTCCCTTCTTTTAGCCCATTCTTTAGTCTTTTCTTTCTTGAAATTTAAAAACTTGCAAAAATGCGAGCAAAAATAAGATATATTTGCAAGAAATTTATCAATCATCAAATCAAGAAATGTTTGCTTTTCGCTGTCGTCATGCAGTCGTTATAATGCAAACTTAAATTGGACCAATCAGTGTCCGCTATTCTGACAGTCCGCCATATTTTTGAGATCAGTGAGGATGACCACCCACCGAAACTTCGTTGGTGAGCCACGCCCGCGATATTTGATGAACTTTAGACTTGGCTAATGCTTTCGTTTCCCCGGGTGTAAATAGCCGGGGGGAATTAGTACCCTCGCACGGCGCTTCGCGCCGTCGGCTCGGGGATTAGCTAAGTGAGTCAATATTGATACCCTCTCGATACATTTATAAAAATATAAATATTATATTGTTAATGTATTGATGTATTGAGAAGCTATCAATACAATATATTGACTCATTTAGCTAATTTTGATTTAATTTCTATGGCTTTCAGGCTTTGTATTTATAGAGGAGAACTATCCTTTTTTTGTGTTTATATCTATATTGTGTTTATCACTATAAATAGCTATATTTATATTTAATATCCAGACAATCCCTGAATGTTGCTGAATACATCTAACATTTTGGATACATTTTTTAGTTTCTCATAGTTTATATACCTCTGAGAAATCCCAGCCTCACATTTTATGCATGAAGAAACTGTTTAACATTATTAGGATGTTAGGGTTTGTAATCCAAGTGAGAATATATACATTTTAAGACCTAACCAGGAACGACTGCGAAAAATGCAGCACAAGGTCCTCTGGTAGGAATTGAACCCACAGCCTTGCGATTCCGGTGCAGCGCTCTAACCAACAGAGCTACAGAGGCCAACTGTTGAGCTATAACCGCAAGTTCATGTATATATATGTAATCGGGTGTGCGGGTTGTGATAAGATGGATTTCAATAACTTAGATTCTTGCACTTCACTTGGTGGAGTTAATATTAGGATATTAGCTAGGATGTCCTATTATTAATATTAGTCTACTAGCTAGCTAATAGCCTATTATTAATATTAGGCTATTAGCTAGTACGCTTATTAGCTAGGATGTCCTAACATCCTAATATTAATTCCACCAAGTGAAGTGCAAGAATCTAAGTTATTCAAGTCCACCTTATCACAACCCGCACACCCGATTACCTATATATATACATGAACTTGCGGTTACAGCTCAACAGCTGGCCTCGGTAGCTCAGTTGGTTAGAGCGCTGCACCGGACTCGCAGGGCCGTGGGTTCAATTCCTACCAGAGGACCTTGTGCTGCATTTTTCGCAGTCGTTCCTGGTTAGGTCTTCAAATGTATATATTCTCACTTGGATTACAAACCCTTACATCCTAATATTAATTCCACCAAGTGAAGTGCAAGAATCTAAGTTACCCTGTTCAACATTATACATGGAGAGTTTCAGCCCGGGCTGAGTTTCAGCCCGGTTAAACGAGCTGATCGAAATTACATCACAATAATTTGCATGAGCAGTTTGGGCTCGGTCTGAGTTTAATCAGAGCTACAGTATATTTATAGTCAACACAGGCTGAAATGTCAGCCCCAGATGAAATTATCACGAAATAGAGTGTCGCTAAATAGGAGAATAATAATTTATTATGAGAATAAACCTGTTACATTTCTTTGAAGCATTAAGATGCTGATTAGTCGACTATTTGACTTTTGTGAGACTGTGGTTACATGTATAGTATATTTAAAGATGAAACAAACACTCAAAATAAAGCCATTTAAACAGTTGGTTTTTAGCCCGGGCTGGAATTATTTGCGATTACATGCTGCCAGGCTGAAATTTCAGCCTGGGCAGCTCATACTTGGCTGAATAATGCACCTATCAATATTAAGCCCCAGAGGGGGGGGGGGTGCGCATAGGTGGGGTATTTATTTTTTTTAGCTAATTTTCAATCAAATGCCCCACCGTCGGGCAATAAATATTGGTAAATGCCTTAGCTGAATTAGCTGAATTATCTAAATGACTTAGCTGAATTATCATGTAAGCACCTGTCTTTATTGCTATATATATATATATATATATATAAGAGATGTTTACGTATTTTTCCTCTGAAAATGTTTCATAGCACCAATAACATGGCATTCTTACAAAATGTACCTGTGCTTGGGCAAAGGTTTGAAATGAAATATGACCAGATATACATATCATATCCGGACCAGGCATTAAGATAATCTTACTTTCCAGTATATTAGCAGATACCGGACTTGTCCTTTCAACTTTGTGAGCAAGGCTTTGCAATGCCATGTTTAGAGTGAAGTTCTTTCCTATGATTTCAAGTATCTTTTCAAATCAAAGTATTATAGACACCCTCGTTTTATAACCAATTAAAATAATTATTTATCTTAAATGAAAGTATCAATCTTATATCAACATTATCAGTTATTTGGCCAGATATTGTGCAACATATCTGACATATTGTACTGAAATCTAGCCGAATAGCAAAACGTTCTATCTCGTGCAGCCCTAGAAATGACAAGATGCCTAATTGTGACCAATTGTTTTATCTAGCAACCGGGTATTTCTCAAAGATAGCCCTTGTTGTGACTGAGAAGAAAATTTAAAAAAGACTTGTGTTTGATAAAAATAGTGAGTAAGGCCATTTAAGGTTTTTGGGTAATAGTAGGATTATCTACAAATTAACTTAGACTGTAGAATAATCCCAATTTTTATTTTTTAGCCAATTACTCACCACAGAAAATTACAAATTGGCACAACAAGGCACGTTCAAGGGGAAACCCGGCATTGTGACACAGACCCCGAGACATACCGTACAGCAAGAACTGGTTTAATTTATGTGCTTCAGTTACTTCACATTGTAAGCCATTGTGCACAGCTTTATAATTGTGTGTTAATATTTCTCTGCCATTACAATATAGTGATGTGGCTGTGTTCTTATTCAACTGTGTTATTAAACCATTGAGTTGCACTGTGCCCTATTATTTTACTCTGGTTAACACCAGACTATTTTACTCTGTCTGATGCCAGACAATTTTACTCATCAATGGGAGAGCGCTGGCGCTTAATGGGTATAACTGTCCTATCTGTCCATGTGTCTAGTTAAACCATCGAGTGGCATTGTGATCATGTAAATTTTTTGTTTTTGCTCATTTTCCATATCACATTTTTTCTTAAAATTGATTGGCTGTTTGAATCCTATCATTAAATCTGATTGGTTGGTTTAGGTCAGCACTCAAATGTGATTGGTTGAAAGAAAGTGCGATTTCAGCCCAAATCGCACTGCTAGGAGTGCGATTCGTGCTGAAATCACACTCCTGTGAACCATTCAGATTGCAGGAAACACCATTGATTTCAAAATGAATATAATAAAACGATTAACATAGATTAAGATACTTAATCTATATAGAACTTAATCTATATGTGTATTATAGAACTTAAATTAACTATATATGTGTATTTGAATCCGTATAGAAATTTATTCTATGTTTGATCTTTTTATAGAGTTAGAAAACCGGTGTATCATGGCAGCTTTGACATATGTCCTTGAGGAGAAAGAGCATATCTCAGGAGAACATTCCTTTAAATTAAGTTGTTCTTGTAAGTGAATTTTGTATATTTTATAACAGCTAGATAGAAATTATGAAGTGATGTATATTTTGGCAGTGTAACTACAGGAGAAGTACAATATATAGACAAAAGTGTAAGTTGTGCATGAAATGCTTACACAGCAAAAAATCATTTAAGAAAAAATTTTCTTGAAAATAAGAAATTTTTGAATCCCAAGATATCTTTTTCTTAAAATAAGAAAAACATTTCTTAATAAGAAAATATTTTCTTAAAATAAGAAAATACGATTTTCTTACTTTCTGATCAGAAAACATTTTCTTAAAATAAGAAAATACGATTTTCTTACTTGAAGAATATGTTCGTAAGACAAGAAATGAAATTCTTAAAATACAAAATTATAAAATAGTAAGACATTATTACTTAAATTTTCGAAGCAAGAAAATGTAAAATCCTAGTGTTATAGGACAACTTATATCTTAACAAGACTTATTGCGTCAGGTAAATTTGTATCTTATTGCGTCAGGTAAATTTGTAGTTTTTATTTCGAATTGAAGAGACTATATGACCGGCAGCTCACGGTTGATCAAACACTAAATGGCCGGCAGTACATTGACAATATGGTTAAAGTTGAATCTTCAGTATAAGATGGTCTAAGATAGATAAACCGATTCCCAATCCCAAACCCTTCTCTAACCCTAACCCCTAACCCTAACCTTTTGAGAGTTAGACCGGCTGCCGGTAATATAGTCACTTTGTTTTTATTTCGTTTCCAAAATTTGAGCTTGTTTCAGTTTTATTGAATCGTTGAAGAGAATTTTTGCCCTCCGGAATTTTTATCCAAGCAGGAATAGTTCGCCATAGTTCGCGTATTCACTAAACGCCTGGTACCTAGTTTACCTTTTAGAACGCGGAGCATCGCGGGATAGCGTCGTTTTACATTTTTGTGAAAAATTTTATATAAATATCCATGGCATTTAAGGCGCCTTCAAGGCAATTTAAATGGCAAATAACGATGGGAAAAGCATCAGAAAGTCCTTAAAATGTTGTTCAGATACCACAGGTAAGAATAATTGTATATTTGACTTGTTATTTAAACAGATTCATTGCGAAAAAATGCAGTGATTATGACTGTTTACTTGAGCGAAGTGTGAAAATATTCCATTGAATGTTTGAATTTGCCGCGTTCGTTTTGCATATAAAACATGCAAATGTTGCTTTCAGGCAAGGGACGAAAGATTAAAATATAAATTCGTATCTATTATTGTGAATTCCATACTAATTTACGCACTAATATTAACAATTTGACAATATTAAATTGCCTTTGACATTGGCACTTTGCTAGACCTTTCAAATGTCAAGACTCAAGGCTATATATGGTGATATGAAATAAGATATTATACATACGGATGTTTTTGAAAATCTGTTAGCATTTTAATACTTGAATAAGGATTGGAGTTACAGGAGAATGACAGCATTTAATCTGATATTTTCAGTGTATAGATAGCTGAATAACTGAATTGCATCCTACTTTATTGTTTACTCTGTCTAATGTCAGAGGATTTTCCTACTTGCCTTGCCGGATAACTTGGCTACTGTAGAGAATGTTTAGTTTTCCCGACTTACTATACTTCACCCGGGAAACTCTGCAATCCTAGATAGAATGTATATGCCTTTCATTTAAAATAATAGCCCAAAAATACATACAAATCATTAGGTATGTTTATAGCTTTCCTCTATTTCTAGCAGCTTATTCTTGCCTATTTTGTAATCATGTTTTTTAAACTTTTCGAATGATCCAAATTGTGTTTGTATTTTGTCATCGCGCAGTAATAATGGGGTAACTCGATTTCATATAAATAGACTGCTTTTTGTCCTGCCCGAGTGAGTAACTCACCTTGCCGGATAACTCGCCTACTGATGTACTGATATCCATATTGGTGTATCAGTCATCTTTGAATTTCGTGAAATGACATGTATTATCAGTATCGGCAAAGTATTTGTCTTTTATTATCAGTTATCAGAATATCTGTGAATTTCCATATATCGGTGCATCACTAATACAGTTCAAGATTGTGTTTGTATGAGAAAATGCCATCCTGCTTGCCGGGACAATTTTGTTATGTTGACATTGTTTTGATAGTTGTTAAAAATAGCTTGCAGCTCGGCATCTTTGAACATTCATCCTGGCCCAGCCTGCTTGTGAGTGTATATGTGGAGAAATTTTCATCCCAATAAGCAACATTGTGGCATCAGAGCCAGCCTGCTTGTGGATCCATATAAACACATGATAATTTTTTCTAGATAAATATACCTAATGCAGTAAGATCTTTCTTACCAGGCTGTCCCGCTAAGCGGTCCACCCCAACTTCCATATAAATACATTGTACAGCTGGTTTAATTAAAGAACCATGAACAGCAACCGGAAGTAAACTATACTGTCAGTAACTGTGTGATATGGTATTGGACAAATTATTACATTTCTTTATATTGCAGCTTTGGTGCATGAATAAGGGATAATAGTCTACTGGGCACTTGCCACAAGAAAATGATAACTGATTCCAGGACATCTGTATCTGCCTACAGCCATGTCTCTGCTTAATAAAATTTATATAAAACATATGTAGTTTAATACTCCCTCTTTCGTTTTCTACCAATATGAACAGGTGATTGGCCGATTATAACATTAAACAATAAACCCTTTGTATTAGATAAGAATGATTATTATATTATAGATAATATTAAATTAATAATATTAATGAATTATATTATAAATGAATTATATTATAAATAATAAGTCATAAAATTAATACTCGTCTATCTTTTTAACATAGACA